AATTAACTGAATGAAAATTCCGCATGTTCGGGTTGATAGTCAACAGTCTCTGCACTCTCTGCAGTAAAACGAATTGGAAACTCAAATAATTGTACATCGTGGGCCTACGTTGTTGGGGAGCAGCACAAACAAACGCAACAAGCGCAAACAAACAGAGCGAGCAGTACGAATGATAAAATTGTTTGCAAAATGCAAAATAACGGGGATTTTTTAAATTTTCTCCGCTTTAGATTAACTAACGCGTTAGCAAACCGCTGTTAATGCTTGCATCTTTCCAGGTGATCTTGGAGTCGCTATCGCCCTGAAAATGTAATCCACTTGTGCTGGCCCAACATCAGCAAGCATTTTGTGAAAATAGACAAAAGTATATCGCCGCTTGAAGATAGCGATCACTCAAAAACCGCCTAAAATAAATCAATTATTTCCGTTATGAAGCTTCAACGCGTTTTTCAATGAGCGTCTCTTCACTGCGTTGAGACGAAAATAATGTAGAATTCGGTTTTTTCGGTAAGAAATTAAAATTTTCATGCATTTTTCTTGATTATGACCGCTCAAAAACAACCGGCAATTGAGCAAACATGTTGATTAATTCGAATCTGAAGCTTCTAACGGGTTTTGTGATTAGTTTCCTGCATTTCGCGCTTTCTTGAGATGAAAATGAGGTAGAATTTGAGATGTTTTGAGAAACTCGATTTTTTTTTGGGAAAAACTTTACCTTTTATGAAATGTTCCGTTAAAAATGAAATTTTCGCATACGTATTTTATGAGCTCTGTGGACTGATTTCGCTCGAAATAACTTTCCAATATGCCCACTTAAAGAGTTTGGATCAATAATAAGGAAGGTGCCATCGGTTGAAAATTGTCACCACTCAAAATCCGCTTAAAGTGAGCCAAAAATATCGATTATTCGAATCTCAACCAGTGGGCCAAAGTGCATACTCAAAAATTTGATTAGGGGCCTTTATTAGGCTGTTTTGTGCACTTGGACCATCTATAACATGCTTAATACGTGTTTTGTGCAAGGGATATGCTAGTTTGTCTAAAATTTTAGGGAATTTTGTAGAATTTGGGATTTAAGTAGTTTTTCTATAATGTGCAAATTTCCAGCATCTACTTGCTTTAGATGGCAAGTTAGGAATTTTTATTGAGGCGCCTACCGGTGCAAAAAAAGGTTAATTTTTGGACCAACATCTACAAATCAGGATTGGCCGCAAATTAAACTAAAGTATCCTCATTTTGAGAGTCATGTGTTTTGTATAAATATCGTAAATCTCAAATAGCAAGTTGATAAACAAGGAAAATTAGGAGGGTTTAGAGGAGAGCGCGCAGTTGCGTAAAAACCATCATCTTTGGCACGACATTTACAAAAGGCGCAAAAATCAAAATTTCGCGCAAATTGAACAAAAGTCCCCAAATCATGAAATTCGTCCGCGCTCAATAGACTGTGTAAGTTTCAAGTCGCTGCTTTTCAAGGTTCAACTTGCTATATTTTGCGAGTTAAACATTTTTATTGGAAATTCTGCCGTTGCGTGAAAACGTCCATTTTTGGACAAAATGTGCCAAAATTGGAATCTTTGGCAAACACAATTATATTTTCTAGATTTTGATAGTCTTGTATGACCAATAGAAACTGCAAATTTTGAGTGGCTACTTGACTTGACTAGAAGTTAGGAATTTTTATGTTCATAAGCGTGTGCAGATGCAAGAAAACGTTAATTTTAGACCGTTTACAAGCGGCGCAAAAATCAAATTTTGTTCCAAATGAAATGAAAATTTCCAGCGTTTGATATTCGTGCGTTTTGTATGCAATAGAATGTGCAGTTTTCGGTAGCTACTTGTTCTGGATTGTAAATTGTAATTTATTTTAAGTCGGCAATTGCAAAAACCTTCATGTTTGGACCAACAGTTATAAAAAGCGCAAAAATCACAAGTTTTTGCAAATTAAATGAAATATTTCGGATATGGACATTCATGCGTCACCTACTGAAATTGCAAATTTGAAGTGGCTACTTAATCTAGATTGTACGTAAAGAATTTTTATTGAAGAGTCTGCAGTTGCAATTAAACTTTCATGTTTAGACTGACATTTACAAAAAGCGCAAAAACCAGAATTTGCTGGAAACTAAATTAAATTTTCTAGATTTTCTAATTCATGTATCTTTTATAGAATATGCAAATATCCAGTGGATAGTTTCTCTAGATTATAATTTAAGATTTTTTTATTGAAGAGCCTGCAGTTGCTCCAAAACATGCAATTTTGATCCCTCATTTACAAAAAGCGCAAAAATCAGCATTTCTTGCAAATTGACTAAAATTCTGCAGACTTTGATATTCAAGTGTGTCCCATTGATTTCGCGACTGTCCAGTTCTTATTCGTCCTAGATTGCCAAATTTTAGAAAAAAGGGTGCGTGAAAAGGAAAATTTTTGGACCAACATTACCAAAGCTCGCCAAAATCATGATTTTTTACTCATTTTACTTAGCCTTTAAAACGAGCACCCAGTGTATGATTTGCATGAAAACACGTATGTTTAATTTTATGAATATTTTGAATCACATATATAACTAATATTTTGGATTTGTTCGTAATCCGAGATTGTATGAGACACATTTTACTTTCTTTTTTTAAATATTCGACTTTTAGTTGAACGTTGACACACCAATTAACCTAAACGGTCGACACCTTTGCGCGCTTTAAAATAACGGGAAAATGTACAGGGCGATCGTTTTTCAGGGGTCACACCCACTTTTTTCCCAGCAACTCTTTCACGCACCCCACAGGTTGTTTATAAGTAACCAAAATTGTTGTCGGTTCAATTTGGAAACTTTCTGCCCTTTTGCACTTTTTTCTTATCTAGCGCGATTTTTGCGTAAAAAATTTAAAAACAATTGGCGGTAATTCGGTGAACAAAATTGGTTTCAGTGATTCAGTAGGCTCAAAATATAACATTGAAAATAATTTGTTTTCAGTAAATTTATCATTGTAAACTTGCAAACTTGCAACACTGTCTTTGAGTAGAGAAAAACAAAAAATTTCCTTGTGTAAAAAGCAGTGTAAAAAGTGTAAAAAGCAAGATCTAGGGGACAAAACGCCCAATGTATTGTTCATGTCTAATCCCAAGCAACCACATCTAACTGAGTTTTTTTCGAAATTTCAAAAGGAGAAAAATGAAGAATGGGAAAAATCCAATTGTAATAAACAACCTGAAGAAGCACGAAACAACCACGCAGAATAAAGGCAAACAATCGTTAGAATGCAACCGTTTGTTGGACATCATGTGATGTAATAACAAAAGTGCGGAATGCACAGTTTACTTTCTTCCTATATCAACCGTAACCGAAATGCGGACAACCGATACCGATCAGACTGGGTCATTGATATTACCGTAATGCCATAATTCTTTATTATCAATCTTGAACTTGATGAGAGGATATGTGATGGTCTACATTAAAATGTCCCAGTCAAAGACGAGATGTGCGATTGAAGCTAAATAATTAGATTGTTTAGAGCTAATTGATTCAGCTTCACTACTTCCCTTGCGACTGGACAAAGATCCTCTGAAGCATTCTCAACGCCTATGAGCTGATGACTGGGCTCATTCACAAGACAAGCAAGTTTCAGAACAAAATCGGATCAAAACAGCTTGAAACGAATATAAATTAATTACTCCGGTTGCTGAACGAATCCTCATATAAATCATAAGGCCCGACTGCAATTAGCCCACTAGAAACCTAAGTGATTTATGTGGGCATCAATACGTCACGATGGTTCACATAATGCCAAAGCCTTCTAGGAAACATTAAAAGCAAATGTGCACCTTGACACCCACAAATGCTGGCAATATTGAGCGAAACGTGTCGCTGCATCGGACGAAGGAAAATTAATCGGCCAGTCAGATGGATAAGCAGAATGGGAGAAAATTTGCAGCCGACGAACCTTGAATAGTGGATCGAATTTGCCTAATGATTACCCGGAACAGGCGGAAGACATGAGATGAGGTCTTCTTCTGCTCAACGAAATCGAATGTTATGGGAAAATGTGCAAAAATCCTGCTTTGAAAGTGTTGCGATCGCACAAAGGCCCTCGACTCCGTCCATACGGCATTTCATCGACGACTACATGAGTGAAACACCGGTAATATGCGATAATTATGATTGTTTAAGAAGCAGAAAGGGAAACGGGCAAAAAATGGCAATTTTTAAATCCCAGAATGGTCATTTAACAACTTAATTCAAACCGGGCAATAAAGAACGTTTAAGTAAGTAAGTTTTTTGCAAGGGTTTGTAAACTACTTGTGTCCGACAACAACCGCGCAGAATGAGGCGATTTTATTCATTTCCAAGGCCAGACTTGTCTCGATAAAATACGAAGAACTTTTTATAAAACTGCCCATTGTTTCAAAACAGTTGGCCGGTTAATAATATCCTGTTACCGTAGGTTAGGTTTTGATATTTTTAGCCGCAGTTTCTTCTTACTTCAGCTCGATGCCAATGGATGTAAGACAAAATATTTCGAACAATAACCACGATTTCTTCACTGTCTCGTTATACAAGGTGGCTACAAAATGAAATTAGCGAGCGTTTGATGCTAATTTTTTGTCAAACTGGCAAAATTGTTCATTTCAAGTTAAACTTGCTGACAAAGTGATTGGAATTTTCCCAATTTTGAGACTCATGTACTTGAGATTGAAAATTAGGAATTTTTATTATGGAAGAGTCTGCAGTTGCAAGGAAACATTCGCTTTTGGACCAACATTCACTAAGGACGCAAAAATCAGAATTTGATGAAAATGAAATTATTTTTTTGCAGTTTGAGATCCATGTGCTTTCTATTGAATCTGGAAATTTTCAGTCGCTACTGAGGATTTTTTGAGTTTTGTATAAAGTTTTTACATTTCAATATAGTTTCAAATAAACTTTTTCAAACATCGCCGACTAACCAAAAGCCCATAAGAGGTTGTCACCTGTTTTAATTAACTTCTGACCAGTTTAAAGTAGCTGACAAATTGACATTAATTCCAGACTACGAGTTTTGTAGACATTTTTTTCTCAATGTTCGACATTTTTTTTCAATATCTTCAAAATTAATAACCCCGGGAGTTCAGTTCCATCACATGAATCTTCTTATGGTCACCATCAAGCATGGAGTCTCAGTCGCAATTGCCTCGAAAACCCAAAGTGATTCTGCCTGACGATGAATCGCAGCTTGAAGAAAATTTCGATGATCTTATGGGCCCCAGTATGCAGGAAGCCAATACCGAATTGGGACTTGCCGATCGGAAAGAGGCAAGCAAAAGTTTGGTGCAAATAGTCGGCGACGAAGAAGCTCAGGAAGGGTTTTTCGAGGAGAAAACCGACAAGGTGCCACGCGTAAAAATTTGAATCATTTTTTGTGCGAATAGAGTTTATTTAGCAACCGGTTTTCGGGGAGATTGCTGGAATGACGGAAATCAACAACGAGTATGAAGACGAAAAAAGACCAAGTACAGAATACCACGCAAAATTCGATCTCAACCCCCAATAGTCAATAATAAATGCTTCATAGGTATATCGGCCCAAGATAAAGAAGTGGCTTCTGAAGATGCACCCATGCAAACAGATTCTTCGATTACTGCAAGTAAAGCTGAAGAAGATCGAAGCGCTGCAACAGAACCAGAGCAGTTGGAAGCGCAGATTTCGAAGCACAGTAAAGAGGCAGAGCCGGAACAGCTGGAAACCCACCCAAGCCTGCTTCCGGAAATAATTGCAACTCAATCTGTCGAGAGTGACACAAGAAGGAAATTGGAAGCAAGTACTTAAGGCAAATTAAATTGAAAAACGTTCCTTTGAGAATTCTGCAACCCGAAAGAACTAGCAATTGCATTAATCAGCCAATCTCTTCAAGAGAAATTTAGTCAGCTTTTTTTTAAGATAGGATGAAGACAAAGAAGATGTCCGTTTCAGTACCACTAGCCACTCGAACAGTGCAAAAACAATCAGGAGCTCAACTTCTCCAAGCTTTGAACCTGGGCCATCGTGAGTGCATTTCATAATAATTCTCCTAATGAAAAAATTACTTTCATATTTTTAGCAGCCGTAGACGTAGAAGCATCTACTACGATTTAGAGAGTCGAATTGAGAGCACAGAGCAGGAGAACCTGACTCAGTTTTTCTCCATTGACACAGTGGACGACTTCGTTTTGGCGGACGACCATGCAGAATCCGTCGAAGAAGAATCTCTTCCTACAATCATTGAAGAAGAAGCACCGGCTCTAGACCGCGACCTTTACTATGCTCGATATATGGATTGCGGCACTAAACTTGAGAGTAATCGAGTCAGGAACAACGTTCTTCAGAAAATAGTGATAATGTACTTGAAGAGGCGAAAGGTACTTGGCTGGGAGGAACCCAGCAGAGGTTTAATATGCAACCAATCGCTTCTAGGTAGAAAATGTTTGCAAAGACTCCGAAGCCCCTCTGGATCAGGTGCTTAAATATGGCCAAAAACTGGATGCTTATCAGCAACTGATGCAGATCAATGAAACTCAGAGGCTAACTGTGGCTGCGCAAGTGGAAGAGCTTCGCTCCAAGCGTGCAACAGTAGACGAGGAATTGAAGAGGAATTTCCTTGCCATGCAAAACCGGGAGTCAGCTATTGGCCGCGGTCTGATCTACGCGAAAACTGGCAACCAAATTCCTGATAAACTAATTGAAAGGTTTTTGAGAAGACAGTCAGACCAGTTGCAGCAAGTTTCTACCATGAGGCTGAAGTTCATCAAGCTGAAGGTAGAAAATCGCCTAATCGGGAACAGTCAAGTCGTTTACTCACTTAATGCGATATTCGGCGTCTTGCAGGGAATGGTTGAAGAGAAGCTGGATGCCATCAACAAATTGGATAATCTGGAAAACAATCTTCACCTGGCTGATTACGAACAATTGAAATCGGATAATCGCAGCTATGCAGACAAAATTGAAGAACGAGATGAAGAATTGGCCCGTCTTCGCAACAAATGCCAAAACACCATTCAAATTCTGGCGCACATGCGAGAGAAATCGGCCGCTTTGGAGGCGGATATGGATGATTTAAAGGATGACTTTTACTCGGCTGATGAGACGGCTAGGGATTATAGGGAAAACTTGGCCGATATCAAACACGCCAAGGACAGATACAGGCTGATGGCCAGGAATCTTAAGGAAGAATCGGGACTTTTAACAAAAAATGATCTTCTCGACGACATGGAGCGATCGAAAAGCGAAGTGGGCGCTCTGGAAGCGGAGCTGGCAAAATGCCAGGAGGACGTAAAGGTTAAAAAGACAGTTGTGAGGAAATTGAGGAAAACTATAGAAGAACTGACAGAGGAGATGAATGCACGAAAGCTAGAGAGGATGAAGCGAGGAACGGTATTGAGAGCCGAAGAAAGAAGGAAAAGCACATCTGAATCAACGCCAAGTGCTTCCAAATGCCGAATGGTTTATAAAAAGCGACCGACTCTCTATCTACCGGTTATTCAGCAAGACGTGTTTAGGGACCTGGTGAAAATTCGACCCACGCCCTCAGTTCTGAATAGGAGAAAGTGACAGCAGTTATTTAGGGATGTAAATAAAGCTACAGTAAACTGAAAAAAGCAATGCTTCGTTCATCTATTACATCTACTCGAATGAACGGCAAATAAATCAAGAAACATTTTTCGTTATCGTTCCCCTTCGTGGTTTCTGCCTTTTCGTTGGGCTTTGGTTGAAGCGAAAAGAAACGAAAAAACAGCCTGTTGCCGAGAAAATAGCCACGGCCTTGGCTCATTGTCATGTTTATTGTTCCTCGGGCGAGTGGTACTACAACGGCCTACGGCACCGATACGCTTCGAAAGAAGATATTACTAAAGTTTATTGCGCGAGAATTATTTATTTTTCCGCGCAGAGTACCAAGAACTGTGCTTCGATTGTTTCTGTTTTGTGGGAGAATCTTCGGCCGCAAATCACGTTCGACCTCAGTTTATGAGCTCGAGGAATCCTTTCAACATTTTTACTCATCTGGCAATGGGCGGCTCATCATTATGCAAGGCCGCTGTCAAAACTTATACTACATATACATATACAGGGTGATGTCTAATTGGCATCACAATGAGTGAATCGCAGAGAAACTACATAAGGAATTTTCGTTGGGAATAACGGTTTGCCGAGTAACTTTACGCCAATATCTGTAGCTTTATGCAAAATTCAACAAAAACATCAATCTCAGAAGTAATGTCTAAATTAGTCTCTACAAAGCTCTGATCCGCCAATTTTGATTTGAAATAATAACGTTTGACGACGAATAAAATTGACGACTCTGAGCTCTTAAAAAAAAACAGTGAGTTCTAAATGAATTTGGACATTAATTCTCGAACTCTCTGAACAATGTTTTTGTGGTCGTCCAACTATTGATATTTTCGCAAAATTTGGCGCAAAATCAGATAAAAATTGCTCGAGGAACTTCGAAGAATACTATTCATCGTATTGTTGCCAACATCAAACACTGAACTGGCAAAATCGATCTTATCTTCACTTCATGGGTATATGTTCTTCTTCTTATCTTTACCCGCGTAAGTACCGTATATGCTGAGTACATATCGCGAAAGCCACTTATCGAAAAATCAATATCTTCTACATAAATCCAAATAGGGCAATTGCTTAATTTGAGCATATACAGAGTGGATTTCCATCGCATGGTTTAAATGTGGCTCCAGGCGACCTTTATAGACAGGTTTCGACATTGTTACGCCAAATAGACTCGTGGATTCAGCCGCGACCGACCAGCTTTATCTATTTTTACCCCTACGATTTTTCTTTCGTAATTAGCGAAGACAAAAACAGGTATAATAGATAAGAAAATCGCCATCAGCAGCTGTATGCGCTCAGTGCATGCAGTCAATGTACTTTGGGCTTCGTCTTCTTGCGGTCGTCCGCCTTCTTCGCCACGATTCGCGATTGTCTTTGCATTTTTGTGGTAAAGTGCACCTTACTGGTTAAACAAGAAAGCTGCAAAAATAGCGTCACAGTGAGAATTTCTAGTTGTTTATACCACAAAGTACTTTCAAAATTCCTTGAGCGGTAACGGCTGTAACTTTCTATGCGAAAATCGGCTCGCCTTTGTAGTTACCTTAAAATCAGCAGGAATTCGCCATTAATTAAACTTGGAAGTTTTGCCTTCTAGCAGGCTTTTCAGGATCAATATCGTAAATGTTTAAAAAAGGCACTTTGCCTGGGATTATAAGAGGCACTGAGGCCGCAACTAATGAATGGTAACAGGAAGGAAAAGAGCGCTGAATGAGTGGTTGGAAGCAAACAACGAAAGCCAGATGTTCTATTACTAATGAATTACCTAAAGTAATTTCATGGGATTAGTAAAAGTTCGTGCGCGACTGCATTGGCTGATGCACGATCGTCTTATTTAACGAACAAAATTATTTCATCCACTGCAAAAGATGAATAAATTACTTACATGTTTTACATTGACAAACTTTGCGAATTGCGAAAAATCGCCCACGAAACTGCATGCATCCGGAATTTTTGCACTGATTGTTGAGGAAGTGCTTCTAGAACATGGGGTGCCAACTCAGACCAAACTAAGAAAATTTTGGGAATTATTTTAAAATTGCCCGCACTACCGATTGCCTCCAGATTTAGCCGGTGGTTACACCAAGGCTTTTTTTATCGATTTTTGAGGTTTCAACGCTAATTGTGTATTATTTCTTGCGACAGTGTTCTCCAGAACTTGATGTTGCAAAATAGCCAAGTTAAACCAAACTTTGTACATTTTGAGCTTTATGGAAAAATCGCCCACAAGCCCGAACGCGACCAAATTAAGTTGTTAACCCCAGTTGAGCGGAGATTTTGTCCAAAGTCTAGTCGAACCGGCTTGCTGATACTCAGGCTGGTTCTGAACAAACGCGATACACATCTGTATATATCTTTGATACACCCTGTATATATCTAAAGCAATTTCAACACTGCGGTTCAACAATTGAGTTGCCGTTGAAATGCAAAGCGTCCTTATCATCATCTAATAAAATAAAAAGTTCCCTATTGGTGTGGGGTTAATTTGGGACAACCGGTACATTGCTGATGTTGCAGCTCGAATACGCAACAAGTTCATTAGTAAGTATAATAATAATGTTGATGTTCGAATTAATAATAAATCGGAAATAGGGTCATTACTATAGAATGCCTGTTTTTCTTGCGAAACAAGGGAACGGCTGTCTTTGATTTGATTGCCTACTTACGTTAATTACAGTATCCTTTCTTGGGGCTTGGGATGTTGCAGAAAGTCCCCTCAACTGGATTGGCATCTTTGTTTGATTTTTCTGCTTTCAATTTATAATACATAAAAATGAAAATTTCCTCAAGTGTTGCTGCAAGCTTGAAGATACTCAGCTCTTTGAATGGACGTTTGGTAAACACAAACTTGATCAATGCGTATTTATTCTGTTACGTTTGATCGGTTGATTTTTCATAAATTAACATCCATTTACCGGCCAAGTTTGAATCGGCTTCAACTAATCTCGATAGAAACGGAATTTGAAGAATTCAAACCATCGAGAAACGAGGCTTAATTGCACGAAGAGTTTCTTCCTGTTCAGCGCTGTTCATACTTTATTCCGAATGGTAATGGAAAACTTGAGTTTTATCTCGATAAGGTGTTAAATAGTATGTCACAGACCTACCGCATTCGCGCTGAGTTAAGAGCATTGTTCAATTTAAAGTCTCGACTGTTTCAGGAATGTGCTAAATGTTCAACTGACACACGGAACCACTTTAGAGTGAAATTACTATAAGACTTTAAGACGTGTTAAACGGCCGACGAAGCAAGACAAAAATCTGCCCAGCCCAATGAACATTCAAAATATGTGAAACTGAAAAGAATGTGGGCATTTTTACAGGCAACAATCAACCAGCAAATTGCTAACGTTACTTGAATCGTGGCTGTTTGATTTAAAGGACAGCAGAAAGCTTTTTAGACGTTCTTTCCAAATTGATGATTCGAAACAGTTTTTCGACTGTCACGATGTTACCTACGGGAAAATGGCACGATATCATGGGTTTTGTTCGACTTATCGGCTGAAATAAATCAATGTTGCTGCTGCCGTTGATAAACACGCTGACGAAAGATGCGAAAATAATATGAAAAGTTCCGGATGGTCTATTTGTGACGAGTTTAGGTTTGCTTGTATGAGTTTTAAAACAAACGCAACTTCGTCACTGTTTAACATTTTAAATATATTGCTGTTCCACAAATAGTGTGTATTTAAATAAATATAGAGTACATAAATAAATCGAGTAATGTATGGTGTGAAATGATGCATAAGGTTCCTAAGAACAAGAGATTTTCCATTGGGTGATATTGTCCATGACTATAAGCAATTTAAGGACGTTATCAAAAGGGAAACTTTCACTAGAAACTAACGATTTTTCGTTAAAAATTGTTGCTAAAGTTTCACAAGACTGGAATTTTTCAGAACGTAAAATCGATGCAAAAACCAACGCCAATTTCAGAAAACATACTTTTGCTTTTACTGAATACGCACGCCACTTGCGCATGCAAAACGTTTTTTCGCTATCGGTTAAAGCCCGAAAAACTGTTCAAGTGAAACTAATGGGTTTTTAGGCCGTCGTTCGGCCTAAAAACCCGAAAAACCCATTAGCTTCAGGGAATTGCATCGAAAAGTTGTTTTAGATTTTGCTATAAAAATATGTGCTTTATTCACCCTAATCAGCTAAACCCTTGCAACACTTAACGCTAAAACTATCATAATTCAAAATTGGTATTAGTGCTTGCTGCTGTCTACCATTACTTGTGTGGTTTTTTCCTTCGTCTTCTGAAGATTTTCTGAGATGAGGGTTTGTGCAGTAGTTTAAGACTTTTGAATTCCAGTCACAAGTGAAAAATACGAAAAACTGCCCTGCAAAATCTGAAGAAAAGTTGACGCGAAAAAATCGTACATCTGCGTATTCAAAACCTTACCGAGAGGAAAGCGGGAAAACCCAAGTTGCCAAAAGGGCCAATGTTTATGTTTAACGGTTTACCGGCCCTTACCATAAACATTTTGACCATAAACTTAAACTGGCGGTTTTCTTTGTACCAATCCGTTTCATATACCGAGAACACCAATTCTGAGCTCTAAAAAGTTTTTTATTAAATTTTTCGATTTTAATTAGTAAATTGTACTCACCAAAAAAGTGATCTCATTGCCTGCATAGTAAATATAGTATTCCCTCACTAATGCCATCCAGAAGTGAATAAGCGAAAAACCGAAGCTAATTACTGAATCCGACTCATTCTGAAATGGAAGTTTCATTAAAAAAACCTGATGAATCCAAGTATTTACCATTATTATAACCGCGCTTAGAGAAGCAATGCGAACGGACGATTGAACAAAATCCAACACCATAATGTTCCTAAAGTTCTCATTGAAAATGTCCACAAACCTACAAACGAATCTTCGTCGGGTGGGAAAGTTCGGCATTTGTTCCGTAACTTACTTGATAACTTTCCGATGCATGTCGATGCACTTTCTCATCATGATGTTGGATGCAACGTTGCCTGGCTCCACACTCATCCGTCCAGTGTAATAATCGAAGCGTTTCAAATAATGATGCAGAATCTCCAACTGAATAGCCGGACTTCGCATAAAGTAGAAAAACAAAACATCCATTGATACTTGAAAACCCGCCAGGATACAAAATACGAGAATTGTAAGGAAAATTGTCTCCTAAAAACCAGACTTTAGTCACATTTTCGTTACCAATTAGCACAAGTTTACTTGCCCGATAATGTGCCTGCATGTCAAAGGGAAACCACAAGGGAATAGCCATTTTTCTGAAGGAAGTCGTAGCATTTCCAGAAAAAACTTGCTCATTATCGAGCATCGGTTCCAACATGCATACCAGGCCAAGAAATACAATGCTCACAGCATAGTAAAGATAATACAACAAGGACACTTGGCCAGCTTTTTCAAAGAGTCTTACCACCTGAAAAAAGCTCAGTGTTTCCGAAGAATTAACACACATTCAACTATCGATTAGATGCAAGGGAAAAATCCAGGCAAAAATGTTGAAACTATATATATGAGTAAAGCAAATCAGTGTAAACATCGAAAATCAAATAATTGAAGTAAATCAAAAGGTAGCAACTTTCTGAGAACATACGAAAGTAATAACAATCAAGTAAAAATAATTAAAATTTGTTTTAGAGAAACTATTATTTACGTTTCACTTATCAATTGATTGTGAAAAATTTGAATTTGAATTGACACTGATTAGGAAAAGCAGCAAGTGAAACAGAGTGGAAAACTGAAAGTAAGATAAAGCAAACGAAACAACTCAGCAAACCTTTTGACTGAATTAGACGAAAATTAATAGAGAATTACAATAGAAAGAGCAAAAGAAAACGATTACGAACTGAAACGTGTGAAACCAACAAGCAACAATTCTGATCACAGAATACAGTTCTGAACGTTTTAGGCAATGACTAGAATAAGAACTTAGGAGATTAGGACCAAGTGAAAATAAACGCAAGAAAACTGCAAGATGACTCTGAAAAAATAACACTTACTTCAGGATCATTTTCCTCATAAACTCTCTGTTCCACAATTCCAGCATTTTTCAACATTTTTCGAACATCCGGACTCCTTCGAATAATTCCTTGCCGAAAAGACGTCAAAACAAGTGGAGTGGCCAATGAAAAACTCTTCAAAATTTCATCAACTATCACTGTTTCCGCATGCAATAGACGAAACACTGCAGCAAAGAAAGACATCAAGCAAATAAAGAACAGCACTACTAAGACGTGATAGTAAATGGTGTACAGTTTTCTCAAATTTTCATCTTCAGGGAGAAGCTGAACTGGATAGAGGCCGGCGAGCTTGCAAATCCTGGCCACAAAGAATCGTTGATTTCTGTTGTACATTGAAGTGAGACTTTGAATTTTTTGGCGCAAAAAAGCCATAACTGACGGAGTTTATGTGGGAAAATGACCAGAAATGTGGCAATTCTGCACTATATAGACTTCAGTAATTTCTAATTGAGCAATTAAGCAGCATTAATAACTACCTGTGTCTCCTTTGTTTAGTGTACACCTAGCAATTAAGGCTCTTTGCAATGCCTACAGCCATTGATTATATAATTCAACCGTTTACTAAATTTCAGAGACGAACTAGCCAGAGAAATGAGCTGGAACCTTGACTAAAGGGCAAATTTTAAGCTTTTAAGCCTTAAGTGTACCCGTAGTTAATTGATTCGCCTCCAACATTTCAAAGATTTTCACCGATATTTGTATAAAGTGGAGAGTTTTTCTGAGTTTTTAGGCAGCATTTTCATGCTGATGTTTCTCAAGCACGAGCGGCGTACATCTTCAAAAGTGGTTCTTAAAACGGATAATTTTCAGAACGTGGAATCGGTGTAAAAACAGGCCTTGGCTTTTTGTCACTCCTACTTGCGGAACGTTCAGAAAAGCCCGAGACACTCACCAATTTTCCTTAATGTTTTTTGTTGGTTGGCAAATTAAACCGAAATATGTTATTTTTTCCATTTAATAAACTGCTCCTTTTTTTCTGAGGCTTATTGCCTCATTTATCGCCGGCTGGATGAACAAATGCGAAATTGCTTCTCTGAATGGCACGTAGAAGGAGGTTTCAATTGATATTTGCAGTGGGTTTAAGGAGACTTTTTACTGAAAACAAACGCAACATATCCACTGTTTAACGTTTAAAATATATTGCTGTTTGCTGATTTAAGTAATTATAAAATATATAAATAAATCGACCAATCCAAAGCTTAAAGTTACTAACAATAAGAGGTTTTCGACTGGGTGATATTGTCCATGACTAGAAGTAATTTAAAAATAAGTTGTCCAAACAGTCCAAACTGAAGAGTTTCTCGGGCTTATAAACTGTCGTAAAAAAGTATTGCTAACGTTCCGCAAGCACAAACGACGTGCATATTCAGAGAAATTTTCAGAAAGTCGAATCGAGTGAAAACAAAACCCAATTTTAGAAACATACTTTTGATTTTTCTGAAGATGCACGTCACTTATGCTTGCGGAACGTTTTTTTTTTGACTAACGCTTTAAAGCCCGGAAAACCAGTCCCCATTTTATATTTTGTAATACAATGCTTTATATTTTGCTATTAAACTATGTGCTTTATTCACCCCAACCAGCTAAACCTTTGCAACACCTAACGCTAAAACTATGATATTCTGAAAATATTATTAGTGCTTAGTGTCTACCAGTGTTTGCGTGGATTTATCCGTCGTCTACTGACGATTTTCTAAGATGAGTGTTTGTGTAGTAGTTTAAGACTTTTGAATTCCTCTCACAAGCGTAACATACGAATAACTGGCTTGCAGGATCTGAAGAAAAGTTTACCAGAAAATTCGTACAATCTGCGTATTCGAATACTTACAGAGAGGAGAGCGGGAAAACCTAAGCTACCAAACCGGCCAATTTTTATGTCTAACGGCTTCCCAGCCCGAACCATAAACATTTTAACCATATATTTAAACTGGCGGTTTTCTATGTACCAATCCGTCTCATATACCGAGTGCACCAATCCTGAGCTCTATAAACAGAGTATTAGACTTTTCGATTGGTTAGTTAGTGAGTTGTATTCACCAGAAAAATAATCTCATTTCCTGCATGGTAAATATAGTATTCCCTCACTAGTGTTATCCACAAGAAAATTAGTGTAAAAACGAAACTAGTTACTGTAAATGACTCAGTCTGAAAAGAAAGTTTTATAGAAAATAACTGATCAGTCCAAATAGTTACCATTATTATGGCGGCGCTTATAGATGCAAGGCGAAAGGACGATTGAACAAAATCCAACACTATAATGTTGCTAAAGTTCTCATTGAAAATGTCCACAAACCTACAAACGAATCTTCGTCGGGTGGGAAAGTTCGGGATTTGTTCCGTAACTTACTTGATAACTTTCCGATGCATGTCGATGCACTTTCTCATCATGACGTTGGAAGCAACGTTTCCTGGCTCCACACTAATCCGTCCAGTGTAATCATTGAACCGCTTAAAAAAATGATGCAGAATTTCCAACTGAATGACCGGACTTCGGATAAAGTAGAAAAACAAAACATCCACAGCCACTTGGAATACCACCAGTAAACAAATTAGGAGAATTGTAACGCAAAACGTCTCCTATAATCAAGAGTTTAGTCGCAATTTCGTTACCAATTCGCATCAGTTTACTTGCCCAATAGTGCGCCTGAATGTCATAAGGAAACCACAAGGGCAGAGGCAGTTTTCTGGAGAAAGCCGTAGCATTTCCAGAAAAAACTTTCTGATTATCATATAGCGGTTCCAAAATGCATCCCAGGCAAAGAAATACAGTGCCCACAGCATAATAAATATAATACAACAAGGCCACATGTCCAGCTCTTTCAAATATATTTACCACCTGAAAAAAGCTACTGAATTGCTTTGGAATATACAGAGTGATTCAATGTTGGTGCCAACAAATGGTAGTGAATGGGAAAACTGCTAAGTAAAACTTATTGTCGTTTAAACAGGATGTTGAAAGTCGATGGTACAAAAAGTTGAATTTAAAATAAGACTGATTAAGAAAAGCAGCAAGTGAAACAGATGGAAAACTAGAAGAAGTGCGAAGCAAACGAAGTAATTAAGCAATATTGTCGCTGAATTTGACAAAAATGAATGAAAAACACACTGGAAAACACAATAGACGCGACGACAACGAAATAATGTAGTTAACAAATTATCCACACACGTACGAAGAGCAAACAACAAGAAAATCAATATCAAAATGTTGAAACTACAGAAAGCAAACTAACGACAATGTTGTTCAAATATCCTAACAATTTTTTTGAAAATTACTGGAATAAAAAATGAACTAAACGGAAGCACCGAAAATAAACTCATTTAATATTGAATGATAAATCCATCCAGAAAAAGTGATTAAAATTTGCTTGGAGAAACAGGACGTTGAAAGCCACTAGAAGAACGTATTATTCATGATGTATTTATCAATTGATTGTGAAAAAACTTGAATTTAAAATCACACTGATTAGGGAAAGCAGCAAGTGAAACAAAGTTTAAAACTGGAAAGTCCACGCATGCGAAACAACTACTTAAGCAAAACTATTGACTGTATTTGGCGAAAATTAATGAAACGAATGACGATATAAAAGTAGAAAAGCAAAAATTGCATTAAGCCTCAAGAGAACAACGCACAGTAGTTATAGAATTAGCACAATTAAAACGCTCATAAAATCGAGAAATCAGGGATAAAATTGCGAGAAACCAACAAACAACAATTGTGTTCGTCGATTCTAACAACGTTTTCGCAATTAGTGGAATACGGAGTTAATTAATCACGAGAAAACAGCCCACAAAAGAGAAAACTGAGAGATTCCTCTGAAAAGAAAACACTTACTTCAGGATCGTTTTCCTCATAAACTCTCTGTTCCACATTTCCAGCTTTCCTCAATATTTTTTGAACATCCGGACTGCTTCGAATAACCCATTGCCGTAATGCCGTCATAGCAAACAACGTGGTCATTGAAATACTCTTCAAAATGTCATCAACGGTCGCTTTTTCCGCACGCAATAGATGAAACAATTCAGTACAGAAGGAAATCAAGCATATGAAGTACAGCATTATTAAAGCCTGATAGTAAATGGTGTACAGTTTTCTCAAGTTTTCATCTTCAGGAAGAAGCTGAACTGGATAGAGACCAGCCAACTTGCAAGTCCTGGCCACAAATGCTCGTTGATTTCTAATGAACATTGAAGTGAGACTTGATAACTGAAGGATTGTAGGTAGGAAAATGGGCAGAAATGTTGCAGTTCTGCACTATATAGTCTTTAGTAATTTACAATTACGTAACTAAGCATTACTGACTACCTGTTTCTCTGATTGCTATGCTGTCTACAGCCAAGTTTCATAATGCGACTAAACTTCAGAGTCGAACTAGCCAGAKAAATGAGGGGCAAATTTTCTGCTTTARATTTTATTGCCACTAAAAACTTTTGGAATTGTCTCTTATTCCACTTATTTTGCCAGTTTGCCACMGTTGGTTTCGTTRGAAAAGAGTGATAAACAACTCAAGACATTAAGTGTTAAAATGCGTTTTCCCCAAATAAAAGTTCTTGGAAACCTTTTGTTAAAGTATTAACAATCGTGTGAAAGCCTGAACTGAGGGTAGAAAGGTGAGGATTGGGATAGAAAGGAACGAGCTCATTGAAAAACACTCCACAAGGCTCAGATGCAAAATATGCAACATTTTTCAGTTGGTTTTTTAGCAACTGCGAGCTTTAACCGTCAAATATCCTCCTTATTATWCACCCAAACACTTTATAAATGACCAAAGAGAATTGGGGAAAGAACCCCAATAGTTTTTTTCAAAGACATTTTCAAAATTTGGTTGCAAATGACGGTTTTGCCATTGGCCATTTTTCAAAAAATAGTTTCTCTCAACTGAAAAAAGCTTAGAAACGTACTCTTTTTGCTGATGTGTCGAGGACAGTTTATAATATAATTTCGAGAAATATACAAGAAACTGAATTTTATTGCCCCTGTTTTATTTTGGAAAGTTCAAAAAAATTATATTTTTTTTGGAAAGTTTAAAAAAAAATTATTTTTCGAGAAAATTACAGAAGTTCTAGGACTTACAGGAACTTAAAAATTTCGTGATGAAAAAGTACACATGTTATAAAACCGTGGTTTAAACTTAAAAAGCGAAATTACCGCAATTTTTTGAATATTTCCTTTGATATTTCCATAGCATTTCGAGTAGAAGACTCCTCGTAGTAAAAAGGTATTACCATACAATCCATAGATATGCCGCTTGGAAAACTTCCCTTCCTTTTCAGCAATTTTCCAAATATACAACAGCCACAGGCAATTACACTCTACAAACCTACAAGAACTCACTGGAAAATCTTCGTTTTCTCGATAAAGACGCTCAGCACTTCCAATCATGCTCAGAAGGCGCGAAACATCAGGACTGTATCTAATCAAAATCTGTCTGAGCGACATCAGAATTAACAACAGAGAGGTTGAAATGTTTTTCATAGAGATGCTCTTGGGCCGCCAGCAGGATATACAGTTGAGTATGCGAAAAAATGAAGCAAAACACCAGGATGAACTATAGAAGGTTGTTGTACATTCTGAAAGCGATTGAAATTGACTTTGTCTCAGACAGAAATTGGGCTGGATAGAGCTCTCCAGATATGCGAACGCTGGCCACAAAGGATAAATGCTTTCCCTGAGGAATGATCTAGAAGATAAATTTCCGGTGTGATGTTGAAAAAACAGAAGAGAGCACGGTTTTCAGTGAGAATTTCGAAAATTCTCTAATCCGGTCCTGTATTTTAACTCAAACACATGAATAATTAAAAGGGGTTGATTTCGTAATTAAATAATTGCAACTCAGTGAAGCCAGTTTATATAAATAATTCAATTAAATTTACCCTTAGCAATCTAGGAATAGCAGGTTGGGATGGTCGAAGCAAGTAGGAATTCTTATAATTATTAATCATGTCATTTTGCAGATTAATAATAAACCGAATGGTTGTCATGTATAACGGCAAATAATTGTCCCTTACTAGTTGAGCTACTTTATAAAAATGTTATCGATCCAAATGGACAGTTTTACATACGTGGCTTTTGAGCGGAATTGATTGTTTCTGACCTAAAAAACTTCCCAGTATGCGCACGGGAGGCTGTGGGTCCATAATAAGAAATATTTTGCTGGTGAAAAGTAGTGACTGTTCAAAAGTTGCTTAACACTCACCAGTTTTTGGATTATTTTCGATCTAGCGTCTTTTCCATGAATTCGTTGCTGTTTCGGTGCAGCGTGCATTGGACATACGCCGCTGTTCTATCGCGTAACGATAAGTCGGTGACCTTCTCAAGGCTACGCCGAAGAAGTTGCGGACGCGGTCGCCATAAAAGGCCGCTATATGCTTTATTACGTCTTGTTTTACAGTTTGATATTTTTACGGCTGCCATTTCTATGCCAAATGAATTTTTCTGTGCCGATGGCCAATTATTGCTCTTCTATCACTCATTAATTGATTCGCAGTTTACATCACTTCCAGGCTCCAAACGCCTCAAACGATATACAATTTTCAACCTCACTGCTTTCTCAATATACTCTTGATTGTAAACACAAA